TGCTGGCCACCAGCCAAGATTTTAGTGAGGAAATGTTCTTATTTTCCTAGGTTGGCAATATCCCAAGGAAATGAAACAGGGATGGTTGATGAGTCCTATGCCCTCTTCCCTGGGCATTTTACAAACCAGTCAGGACATCTGCTGTTGAAGTGACTGCCAGTAGCTTCCAACTTGGACTGTACAATGCAAACATCAAACTGCCTATAAGCCTTAGAATACTTTGGCTCTAACAAAATTTTAGCAAGGATTAGTACAGCAGGCTGGATTCAGATCCCCGATGCTTTAATACACCTCAGGCTCAGTGCCCAAGATATTCAAAGATATCCTCTTGGGTTCCCAGCTGGTGAGATAAAACATGCATATTCTGCAGACTTCAGAATCACATTTTGCAGCAGTGCATCTATGCTTGATGCAGAATTTCTAGTAAACGACTATGGCCACCATTGCTAACCTGATGGCATCTTCTCTGCTTGAAACGCAGGCAGAATGAGAAAACATTTTCACTAGCTGGCAAGATTTTTGGCAGCTAATGCAGAACACAGCAAGTATCTAGAAAATGTCAGCAGCTGCAAGCTGTTCTGACAGAAACGTCAGACTTCAGGAATTTCAAAGAAACTTGGAAACAGTGGAGCCAATGGGCAAAGAAAAGAGTTGTACTGATCTTGAAACATCAGAGAAATGTTCAGGCACCTTCTGTTCTGCTCACAGTCTCCAGCAGAATATTGTATTCACGAATCTTTTCTTTGTGATGCTTAAATTCTCGCCAAAGCTTATCCAACTCCTCATCAGAGAACTTCCCAGAGGTCTTGGCCTGAAAGAAACATGAGCTCATTGTGCTTCCCAGGCCAAGTGCTTTTAAGTGCACTCAACTGCCAAAACTTCTTCCCACTTCCCACCAGGTTTAGAAAATTATTAAGTCCACCTTTTCCTTAAGATCTTTTGTTTGAAATTCTTTTACATGAGTATGAGGGCAGAGTTTAGACATTGATGGATATGGTGGCTTTAATCATGTCAAAAGGCAGTTTGCTTCAGACTTATAAAGCTAGACTGGCTATGGACTACCCAGTGAAAAGTGTCTGTCATTTCTATTCTATGGGAAACAATTTGATACAGAAATAAGGGCCATAGAGCTCCACATGCAACTGTGAGGGGACTGTTCGCATGAGGGATGCAACCTGGTATCAAGCACAGTCTTTACAGAAGAAATCTTACTCTACAGGCAAGTGAAGATTTTATCACTGTCGTGCGTTTGCTCTGCAGTGATTTGTTCCTCACTGGACTACTTTTTAGCAATTAGAGAAGCCCATGTCAGACAGCTGCAACACTGCCCACAAATCTGGTGACTGACTTGCTGCAATGCATGATCAAAAGTGAATGCTTTTGATACGTGTTCAGCCCAATTCCCTTTTTTTTTCGCTTAGGGAATATTTCTATCTGATGCGCTTTACTGTTCCTCAAAATACATG